AATATTAACTAAAAAGTCCTTCGCTATTACTCTTCTTGCATGTCTGCACAATTTACTTAGTCAGCACTTGCCAACCATTTGAATCAAGATGCATTGTAGTATACGCCAAATTTAAAAGCGTATATACAAAAAATTGTTTCTCTTATATTCTTTGAAAAAAAATTAAGAATCTTTTCATGCCATACTGCAAGCTCAATAACTCTAAATGGAAGATGTCGTCAATCACTAAATCCAGTTATACTCTCAAAGATGAAAAATGGCTGATTTTTCAAAACATGATAACTTTCGAAATATAGAATATCAACATGGAATTGCTTTTAATTAGCTTTAAATATCATTCATGATGAGATGATCTACAACTGTTAAGATTGGTGCAATAGTACTAGTCTAGCAAGCCACAAACATAAAACGTCAATTACTTATATCTTACAAAAACTTACACTATTTTACTACAACTTAACGAAATACAATTATTTCAGTGCCCCAATGAGAAAAATGTGTGTATAGTCGGTCCTGAAACTTTTATCTAATTAGCTAACTTCAATAACTCATGAGTTATCTTGCTTGAGAATTTAAGAACTGTGATTTCAATATAAATATGTTAGATGTAAAAGCTAGTAAAACTATGGAGGTTCGATTAAGAAGACTAAGAAGTATTTCAGGAGTACTGGTTAACTGGTTAAGTCCTAATTATTTTACGACCACCTTATTTTTAATTTACGACCACCTAATCAGTTAATAAAATAAAAGGGAACTCAATCAATGTAATCAGTGGACGTAATGTGTTAAATGAAAAAAATGATGTAAAATGCCAAATTCCCGTTGATAGTTACAATAGACCTTTTTGGTAATTACGTCACAACATTTATCGTCGCAGCGTTTTAAATTTAGAACCACCTTAAATGAAATGGAGCTATGTGGAAAGATGCAAAACATCCTTCTTCAACACATGCATGAAAAATATTTTTTCACTTTACCAAAAAAATGTAGAAATAAGGGGCTAAGACCGCCAGCCTTCCATACTAATTTGTCCAAATCAAAAATTATTTTTCATGCATGTGCTGAAGAAGGATGTTTTGCATCTTTGCACATAGCTTGTGAGAGTAAAACTTGACACCCATCTCTTTAAAAGGTGGTTCTAAATTTAAAACGACAATGTTGTGACGTAATTACGGATAAGGTCTATTAGTCATACCAATAGTATACTCTTATTTTTAAGGAGCGACTTGCGAAGTGAAAACAACATCGGGAAAATGCTGTGTTTTCCCGTTTTATTATCGTGGAATAAAGTATAGCGCGTGTACAACAGTGGCCAACAATAATGTATTTTGGTGTGGAATCACAACATACGTCATAGATGATGTATCGACATGGGAGAACTGTGCCACCGGTAAGGGATATGGTACAATATTAACTAAAAAGTCGTTCGCTTTCTTCTTGCCGTCTGCATGATAAACTTAGTCAGCACTTGCCAACCATTTGAATCAAGATGCATTGTAGTATACACCAAATCTAAAAGCGTATATACAAAAAATTGTTTCTCTTATTCTTTGAAAAAAAATTAAGAATCTTTTCATTCCATACTGCAAGCCAAATTACTTTAAATGGAAGATGACGTCAATCACTAAATCCAGTTATACTCCCAACGATGAAAAATGGCTGATTTTTCAAAACATGATAACTTTCGAAATATAGAATATCAACATGGAATTGCTTTTAATTATAGCCTTAAATAACATCCATGATGAGATGATCTACAACTGTTAAGATTGGTGCAATAGTACTAGTCTAGCAAGCCAGTGAAGCCACAAACATAAAACGTGAATTACTTATCTTACAAAAACTGTCACCATTTTACTACAACTTAACGAAATACAATTATTTCAGTGCCCCAATGAGAAAAATGTGTGTATAGTCGGTCCTGAAACTTTTATCTAATTGACTTCAATAACTCATGAGTTATCCTGCTTGAGAATCTAAGAACTGTGATTTTTCGTTTGCTTATAAGAACGAAATACATATGTTAGATGTAAAAGCTAGTAAAACTATGGAGGTTCGATAAATAAGTATTTCAGGAGTGCTGGTTAACTGGTTAAGTCCTAATTTTTTTACGACCACCTTATTTTTAATTTACGTCCACCTAATCAGTTAATAAAATAAAAGGGAACTCAATCAATGTAATCAGTGGACGTGATGTGGTAAATGAAAAAAATGATGTAAAATGCCAAATTCCCGTTGATAGTTACAATAGACCATTTTGGTAATTACGTCACAACATTTATCGTCGCAGCGTTTTAAATTTAGAACCACCTTAAATGAAATGGAGCTATGTGGAAAGATGCAAAACATCCTTCTTCAACACATGCATGAAAAATATTTTTTTTACTTTACCCAAAAAATGTAGAAATAAGGGGCTACGACCGCGAGCCTTCCATACTAATTTGTCCAAATCAAAAATTATTTTTCATGCATGTGCTGAAGAAGGATGTTTTGCATCTTTGCACATAGCTTGTGAGAGTAAAACTTGATACCCATCTCTTTAAAAGGTGGTTCTAAATTTAAAACGACAATGTTGTGACGTAATTACGGATAAGGTCTATTAGTCATACCAATAGTATACTTTTATTTTTAAGGAGCGACTTGCGAAGTGAAAACAACATCGGGAAAATGCTGTGTTTTCCCGTTTTATTATCGTGGAATAAAGTATAGCGCGTGTACAACAGTGGCCAACAATAATGTATTCTGGTGCGGAACCACAACATACGTCATAGATGATGTATCGACATGGGAGAACTGTGCCAGTGGTAAGGGATATGGTACAATATCATAGGCGTACGGGCGCAACTTCGTTTGGGGGGGCAAAAAAAAATCGCCCGAATTTTTGAATTACACAATGTGCCCGAATTATAACTTTTACCAGATTTGTAACAATAGATTTGGCAAAGCGGCGGATGTACTTTTAAGAAAGTATAACAAAAATAGCGAAATAGAATACAAATATGTTATATATATTACAAAATTTGGTTTTAAAAATTTTAGCTATGTAATTTAGCTTTCAGTTTGCCCGAAGTTTCGGCTGAACTTTGCCCGAATTTCTTGATTCTCGAAATTTTTGGGGGGGCAACTGCCCCCCCTGCCACCCTGTCTCGTACGCCTATGTACAATATTAAGGAAGGGTAAAACGTCCCACGCAATACGTTAAAGCCCATCACAGAGAGCAAGTTTTCTATGGCAATTGCAGTGTTATGCACAACAAATTTTCTATGAGAAATGTTTTCTTTGACAAGTTTTATTTGTTCGTGTGAACGTGCCAACACGTTTACTTTGACAATTTAGTTTGCAGTTAGCGATGTAATCGTACAGCGGAAAACGTACGCGCGCTAAGAGGCGCCATTTTAAAATTTCATTTCTGAATAATGTAATAACGGGAGGATTGTACTGTAATTATAACGTAATTCAGTCTTTTTCTTGTTTCTATCTCTATATGATTCCGAATTGATATTGAAGATGGCCTCCCTATTGCTTAAGGTTGTTGATGAGGTACTGAAAGTACATAATGTGTGTTAAGCCCCGTTTACACTACGTACACTCACAATTTTATTCGTGCTCAGGCTACCAAAATAAAGGCCGGGCACGGGTACCTATTTTAGCCGTGCCAATAAATCGAGTATAGTGTAAACGGGGCCTTACATGAGTTTAAGATCGCCGCCCATCGAAATTCTTTATAGTAGTGAAGAGTTCAATTTTCCCAATGGGTTTAAAAATTATAACATGAAAAGCAAAAGGTGAGAAAGGCTAATTGGCAACGAGCCCCCCAGGATCAACCGTCCGTAACATATATTTAAACCTCCCAACGGAATTAGTGTCCTCTTGGCATTTCGTTAATTTCCAGCTATGGCTATATGCAAAATTGGATGTACAACTCACTGAATTCATAAAATTTTATCGTAGTTCACGAGTGCTGAAACAATTCAACCTGCATGGTCAGTAGATGATGAGATGAACAATTTGTGTGATATCGTCAACAGATGGAGAGAAGTTTTCATTTGTTATTCAGAAACAGCGAATATTACTGCAGTCATATATTGTATCGTGCATACATAGAAGTAATGTTGATTTTAAGATTGTATCATATCACATAAATAGCCTGTAATGTAATAAGCAACCGTATAATATCATACGTTAAAATGGTCGTGAGAATTTACCAACAAAGATTTTACTTTCCTGTTTTACCGCTAACGCAGTCCTTATTTAGGTATTCAATACAGTAAAATAAATGTTGCTGGAGTAAGTACTCCTGCAACTGTTTCACCATCTAGGTCAAATAAAACAAATACATCATAAAATACCCCCCCATAAAAAAGACCCTTTTTAAAGACCTGTTCACACGATCCAATTTTGTTGAATCCAATTCCCTTCAGATGGATGTATTATAGTCTGTTGGCTAGCAATAGGAATGAGCGTTATACGAAAAGCAAAGACCCCGGGTACGAGGTTGTTCATTCATGAGCGGCAAAGAAACCAAAACCAACGCAGTACTGCTTTGTTGACTACATTCAGCACATGCATTCAGCACATGCACATTGAGCACATGCAGACTACATTCCATACGTCAGAAGTGAATTGGATCCGATAGAATTGCCTTAAAAGACATTGACAAAAAATTTACTTTAGTCCGAGGTAATAACCCTAGTATAGGTAATCGTATTAGCACTTTTGTATTCTGTAAAGCCCGTTTTCAGGCTAGGCGAATTTATTTGCGAACTGATAAAAGTAGGAAGCGAATAAATTCGCCTAGTGGAAAATGGGCTTAAGTCAACCTTTGTTGAATGTAGAGGTTTAAAGTTTAAACTTAAACGGGTCTTAATTTCGAGTGGAATTATACACACATCAAATTCAAGCCAGGAACAGTTGATGGAAAAATGAGTCAACTATCGGTCCTCCGGCAGGAATCGAACCTATGCTTTTGCAATGCCGGTGCAATGCTCTTGCCACTGAGATACAGAGCCAGAGGTAGCTGACAAGAGCAAGCGTGGTTAATGTGTATAGGATGGTAACGCCGGGAATGTAGTTTCACTAATGTAGTTTTACTAATACCATCTGTCCAAGCATTATTTTGAGTCAACTGATTTAAAAATTTTTCCATATTTTTCTGATGATATGGTCCTAGTGGGATGGAAAATATTTCCAAACAGGCAATCATTTTACGTCCACGGGCTGATGTCACCAACAGAGATTGAAGAACCTAGTCTCTTCCGCAGGCATCTCTTATGTATTAAAAAAATGCATATTTGGCTTGGGCTAATATAACTAATATAAATACATAAGAGGTATGCCTGCGGAGGAGGCTGCAGAAAACAGGAACCACACGATTTTTTTGGGCAATAATAATTTCACTCCTAAGAATTTACGCCTTTTATACAAAACTATAAATATACACATGCACGTTCGAAATAAAACAATCTAGTTATGAACAACACGAGCCAATTTACAAAGGTAACGGTAATGACTTTACTTCAGCAAAGCATTTCTCATATTCGTCTTTGATATCATCGTGACATTGGATCATCACAGTACATGTCGGCCTTTTCGAATTAACAGCTAGTCCAAGATTCTACATACGAGAAAACGACTTTGTTTAGGAAAAACCCCCAAATTATTATTACTATTTGAACGAATATTACAGAATTACACAAAGTTAAACATGTAGAGGATTTCAAGCTATCTTTTCTCTTCTAGCTGTGAATGGCACTGAATGCAGGGCACTTATCTGATGCAGGGGCATAACTAGAACGGTAATTGGGGGTATATATATATATATATATATATATATATATATATATATATATATATATATATATATATATATATATATATATATATATATATATATATATTTCGACTCTATTTCAATACTCTATTTCTATTTTATTACTCTATTTCTGAAGTCTATCCCAAGTTTGTCAGATGGAAGAACATTAATCAGCTGAGAAGGAAGAAGAGACAACACAGATTCCACAAACTATTGCTAAATGATGCTATCAACGAGAAGAACGCTGACATTATAGGTTTGACAATGACTTTGAAATAGAGGCGAAATATCACCTTAAATATTGTGTCTTGTTTTTTAATAACTCATATCTTGAGTTTACTAGATGTTTATTTTCGGAGTATGTTTTCTCTTATATTAAGTTTTGACTGTCCGACGGATCTCTATTGTAGGCTATTGCACTTAAAAAGAAATCCGTTGGGCAAGAACTGAATATACGAATAAACACACAAAACACTAACTGAATGTGGTATTTACTACCAATACCTACTTGTCTTGATGGAACATAACAATATGGTATACTCCGGTTTTCACACATCACTGGCAGATGTGAATACACATCAATGGGGGTCACATCACCAGCCAAAATAACAATTCTATTCAGAAGGGAAAATGTTCAGATAGTGGACATGTATTTATCGCAGTAGCTACATATTCCAAAATTCAAATGGCTTAGGATGCAATATCTTAACTACAGCCCTCTGATGGGAATATCAATTTGCACCAGGCTTTAAATATTTATTCACTTTTAAAAAAGTGACAAATAATGACAGACACATTAAGACATATTTCAGTTTAAATTATGAATAAATTACCCAAACAGACAATTGAAAACTATAGGTAAAAATAAACATGAAAATGATTTCCTATCATTTGGACCAGCAAAGAATGTAGAGTTCAGCAGGATAACCTACCCTTTTTTACCCTTCCTAAGGGCTTTTGTCACCTCTTTGACGCCTCTGTTCACTGCTTTAACTTTTACAGCTGAAGTTAAACAATTTAGGAACTTGCTCAACACAATTTTGCTAACAGTAGTTTTTTAATCAACAACTTCTTGGTCTAAAATTTTAAATTCAGGCCACTGAATACTCAAAATATCATTGAAAGGAGGGAAGCATTAAAAAAGCATGAAACCATTAAGGTGGATTGTCTAGATTGTCTCTAAACTTCCAAATACTCCAAAATTACTTATAACTTGGGCACTAATTTTCGTACAAATCCCCTAAATTTTTATTGATACCTAAATTTGCACCCCCCAGATCATCACTGAATTTTCTGCAATATCTACATTGTAAAATGGCACTGTTGGTGGATTAAGTTATAGTCACAGTCTGGTGTTAATGAATGGGGGTATTAAATGAAGACAAAACATATAGATTGAGAGGGTCCATAAAAAGTATATTGTTATCAATTATTCAACATGTATTTCATGGTAATTGATATCTATTTCATAGCTTGCCGGCAAGATATATCATTGCTGATGTAAGAATAAAACTCAGCAGGGTCCAACTGTCCAATGCTGATTTTTTGTATTGTTTAAGTAGCTTAGTACATTCAGGGGCAGATCCAGCTCTACTAATTACCCGCTTCAAAAAGTTTTGAGACACAAACCAAATTTTAGTTAATTATTCATAGATTATCCGAATCCACCACTACTGACTCACTGAGTACATTACAGATGTTTGGAGGCTATTTGAATCATTTTGACTTGTGCATTCAGCCATTTGGAAATTTATCAAGCTTTAAACCCATTCTGCCACCAGCTGGGTTTTAAAGTCTCATTTGTTTCAAATAGTCAGGCCAAATGGCCAAATTGGGAACATGCAGAAAAACAACAAATTATAATAATAGCTCAGCCACCATGCTACTCAAAATTGATGACTCCACTGCTGTACTCTTTTGAACACTACAGATTGGCAACTTGGGCATATTCATATAAATAGGTACACGAATAATAATTTCTGGCATGAATCATATAATATTCTACATTTGGAGGACTAAAACAACTCAAAAATGCAGGAAATCATCACGTTTGCTGTCCAGACTTTCTAACATGTTTTCCCCCCTAAACACTGGCTGCGGCCTACGCCACTAATATACATCTACCATGTCCGTTGGTTAAATAAATTGGTCGATTGAGAAAAACGAAGAAGACAGGTTTTTTTAAGCATACGTACCTTTCTTAGCCGTTTTACGTAACGTCTTGGTTAACTTTCTCGCAGCCAAAGGCTTAGCAATTTCATTCACCATTTTGGCAAGTTCGCTGTATGAAAGCCTAGCACTCTCATCTGCCATTGATTCGTTCATACCTTCGGTCGAGGTATCCATAACTTTACTTTTACTGTTAAATCTGGTTTCTAATGATTAATCCTCTCCGTCTTCTAAATATTTTTTGATCCTGATTAATAAACCTTGCACGTGCTGCACACATAACACTCGGCTTTACTTCGCCCAAGTTCGGCTTCAATCGGCTCGCCTTCGTATGTTGGCCAATGTTTGCGCGATGACAGAACATTTAAAAGGGGTAACGGGGAATCGGGGAATGGGGGAATCGGGGTATAGAAGGATCGGGAATGGGAGAGCGGGAAATCGGGGAAACCGGGGTACAAGGGAAACCGGGACGCAGGGTAATGGAGGAACTCGGGAGCGGGATATGGATCTGATCACAATTATACATGTGTATAATGTATTGTATAAAACATATTAGAAAGCAAAATGAAAATTATATACACAGAACAGTTTCTTGAGCAATGTTATTACTGCAATATAACATATGTTCTGTTGCATTTTTCATTATATTTTGAATAGATATCACTATTCAATTGAAAATTTGCATGCCAACTAAATGAACACACAAGCTTATAGTTTCCACATGCTTTTAATTAAAAGCCCCACTGAAAGGGATTTATATTATGATTTTTCACTTGGGTAAAATCTAATACAATAAAGCCTAAGTTCACAATAACACTTGCCAGGTTGGCATTATGCAAAATAGTAACAATAAATATATTTCAAATTAGGATCTTAAATGCAGAAAGCGATAATACTGTATACATGTCTATGATGTGGATAGTATATACTATATACTAACATAAGAGAATATATATACTAACAGTTGTTCTTTAATTAGGTTCAACAATATTACTCTTAGTTTAGCTGTTCAACGAGTCAATAGTTCCACCGTTCCACCGGTTCCCCGATTCCCCCTTTTAAAGATAAGATAGCCCTCTTATAAATGAGTGACAAGAACATAAGCGTATAGGTTCGATTCCTGCCGGAGGACCGATAGTTGACTAATTATTTGTCAACTGTTCCTGGCTTGAATTGTGTATGATACCACTCGAAATTAAGACCCTTTATAAAAACCTCTTATAAATAATGTTAGAGCTCAGTGGCTCCTATGTGCAGGGCATAGAAATTCACAGATCGAAATCACTAGTTCGAAATGGCTATCTTTAAGACGGATGAAGCAAGAGGGAATGCGAATTAAGGAATTGAGGTATCCCAAAATTGGGGAGTCGAGATGGTCTGAAAATCACGGAAATCAGAGAAAAAATTGTTTAGGATTGCTAATTAAGATTGCTAATTAGAATTTCTTCTTCTGCGATTTTCTTCTTTTGATAAATATGAACGAGTAATTAGTTACGAATTCTCTAGATGTATAAGAGCTCTTATTTGAACATAACTAATTCACTCGATAACATCAAAAGAAGAAAATGGCACATAAAATCGATGAAAACGGGCATAAAGACGAGAAATAAGGAATATATATTGCTAATCATCTTGTGAGGACCATCAATGAATGCATCAAATGCATTAATGTAACAACTGACAATTTCAAAATATACATTATACGGATTTCCCACTCCCTTTTTAGATTACACCAACACCACCCAGTTTAAGCCACAACGGTACGCAACACAGCCACATACAGGACAGGAGGGATGGAAACAGTTGAAGCCATCAGTTAAGAATAGTTATTTGGACTTTTAAGTAGCATAGGTGACAATTTCGCCACAATCAGGGCGGGACTGAAGTATGGCCAGGGTGGGACCGAAGTGAAAATAGTGGGGTACTGGGGTAACTGAAAATGTGAATGTATTGGACAAGGTAACAGAAAGGTTAAGGTTCTTCAATAAGTCTTTTTAGCGTTCAAATCTTACAACCAGGGTTTTTCTCGAAATACCAATCATTGAACACGAAATTCGGGAACGCAAAATTTAGCGTTTAATTATCAACGGGATATTTATTTATAATTTCATTACGATCGTGATAGTTCTTCATCAACACAATAAGAATTCTTTAATAATAAAATGGTCAAAAATATAAATTTTCACAAATCACATTTCAAAGTACACGAGGTCTAAGCTATCTACTCATTCGATATCTGAATTTAACAAAAACATCTTTATGCGGTTAAATTTTACCAAATTTCCTGGAATCGATTCCGAAGGTTCTCTAGCTACTTAAATTTTATACTTTGACACATTACAATTTGCGAATAAAAACCAATAATTTGTCACGATTGAATACTACCACCTCTAGTGTTCAGTCTACAAGTCACTCTCCCCGTACAGAGCAGTTGAAAACGACATGTAATCCAAGGCACCATCCACGCCATCTTCACCTTCATAAGGCGCCATTCTGGCAATACAGTACTCAGCTTGATCGGGCGGCAATTCCCGGCGTAGTTCGTCCGCAGTAATGTATGGCTGAAAGGAAAATAAATTTTGTTACCCGAAGATAAAATATTCATTTCAGCCTTGTTTCCTTTTTGTCATGAACATGTCTATAAAAATATCGTAGTATTATGTCTGGTTTTCATAAAGTCGTAAGGGCCGTGAACCATGGTGGTTGAAGGGATAGTATGGTTCGTGGTGCACTAATATGTGCGTGCAGTCAACAATGACTGTTTTGAATACAGAAATAAAGAACATTACTTTCGGACTATTTCGGTTACAATCAGTTAATCAGACCATCGGTTGAAATTACATGTTCACGACAATTACGACTGAATGAATGGAATTACCTTTTGCCTGACCGATTTCTTATCAAGGCAATTGTTTTAAAAGTATGTGAACATGAATGTAGAACAAAAAAATTAGGCTAATATAGCGCCAATCTCTGGTTCTGGAAATGGGTAAACTCTTACCTTATCACCAGCGAGAATTTTGAACGAGTCCATGACTTGTTCGGCCGTGTCAGTGTCTGCCACTTCTTGTGTCATGAAGTCAACAAAAGCTTGGAATGTGACTTTGCCTGTTTCGTTTGGATCCACGATTTGCATAAGACGACCAAACTCTTCCTCTCCCTATGCGAGAAAGCATATTATAAAATAACGTATATAACGCGTGTTCTGATTGGTCGAAGCCCGTATTTGGATCAGACCATCCAAACACGAAAATTTAATTCGCTTTTTGAAATCAAATTGGAACACTACCTTGTTATTTTATAAAACAATAACTGAATGGTTATAACAAGCTAGTTTCGGGCATGCCGTAGATAAGTGCGGGATAAGATTTCCGGTTATTTCTAACAGATTGTATATCACTAAAAGTTATTATGCGAATATTAGCATATCACTAAAAGTTATTATAAACTAGTCAAACATGATTAATCTCCGGATCAGAGACCTCAAAGACCACTATCGTCCCATGGCATCATCATTTCACAATTACGACCATGACGCTTAAAGCCAGAACTAAGGCTAATTGCAAGATTTGGCAATTGCCAAAGTATTCGTGCATGTTTGTAGTTAAATCATTTTTTATACTAAAGTTCATAACGGATAAGGTCTATTCTTTAAAAATGCAAAGATCTGAAAGACTTCCTCGACCGTGTAATTTTTCCGAGTTTGACTAATACATAGTGACAGACCTATAATAGGACTATCCACCATATTAGATTACACCATTCGTCGCCCGCTAAACTTGACATTTTTAGAACGGCAAGGATATGTCACATTTCACTTACCCTTTCACCTTCTTTCAAATTGTATCCCAAACTAATAAGACACATCTTGAACTCATGAGGCTCCAAAGTCATCGACTTGTCCTGTAAATTAAAGCAATGTGTCAGTCCTTTCTATCAATCATTAGCAGAATTCCAGTCCGCTAGCAGAAATTAGTTGTAGTTGATTGACTGCTGTTTACTGCCTACGAAAGTGTCATGGATGGTTCTACCATGGTCTAAATATAGTCTGAAAGGCTTTGTTCTCTTAACAAAACATAACTATCCACAATTGAAGGATTCCTTACTCTGTCGAAGTGATTGAAAGTGTCTCTAAATTCTTTCATTTGTGCTTCGGTGATTCCCTTTGAATCTCTGGTCAATATCTAGAAACAAACAAAAGTTTTAATGTTAAGATCCCGTCGTATGCAAAAATAGCCCAGGAAGCGGTAAAGATGATGTGACTTAAGAATTCGCGAGATTTCACTTCAGGATGTTGGAGTGCTCGGGGAATAAGAAATTTGGACCATCATCACAGAAAAACGGAAATTCTGCTGTGATTGGTTGATAATTGGATATAAATTGGATGTAAATAAAATATTTGCAGTTCGGACAGTTAATATTGCTTTCATTTGAAAATAGAAGAATATATACCTGGTTCTCAACGGCGTTGATATTTCTCGCTATTCCAGTCAGCAGCTGTTCCCAGCCGACGCGAAGTACCTAAAAGGCACCTCGAAATTTTTACAAAATAAGTCCTATAAATAGCATTAGGATTTGCTAATTCCAGGATTCTATGAGGCACTGGTGATGTTGCAGCAACGAAAGCGCTCGTAGGCTGCAAAGTAAAACCGACCTGAAATGAATCCCTATTATGTCTCCATATTAAGTATTTCCTAACGTCTGAAGAAAGACGAATGTGGACCTACAAAACGCTATATAATAGTCTTACTCAAATGCCGTAATTTCAAAACATTTGTAATCATTTTGATAATCATCGTTTGTAATCATTTTGATCATGAATTGTTGACTTACGTCCATTGAATACTGCGTGTGAGGATTTTCAAAGATCAAAGCTTGTTGAACTCCCTAAGGTGGAAGAAAAATAGAGATATCACGCCAAGCATGCGTATAAAAGCTAAAGCTGGGTATTTGAGAGAAGCTAGTTTTGTTCAGTCCGTCTTATGACAGGCAGGCAGGCAGGCAGGCAAGCAGGCATAGAGCCAAGAAAACAGATGACAACTTAATTTTTGCTGTCCAATTTCAGTCAGCTGCTAGCATTCTGGAGTATATTTTCTGAAGTGATTGCATGTTATATACCTGGTGGATGTCTTCCAACTCATCGATGTTCGGTTTATAAGCAGTACATGTCTTTTCAAAGCTCTGCAACACTTTGAGATTATCCTAGAGAAAACAAGAGAACATAACATTTAGGAAACATTCTTGCATTTTTATAATTTAGAAACTCTTTTAAGTTGCAAAAATTGCC